ACGCAGCTGGGACCAAAAACAACCAATCAAGGAGGGCAGAAAGGATTGAAGTTAATTGCTCAGTCTCATTTCAAGGTCTTCAAATACTGCTGCTTTTTTTCACAGATTATCTGTCTCACTACTACTACTGTAGGATATAGTGAACGTTTCAGCAAATATGACAAAAAGTTATTTTTAAGGGCAAACCTATTAAAGTATAAAAGTATGAAATAACATTACCGAAGCGATCCCTTAATTTGTACTCCAAAAAGAAATGCATTTTCCTTTAAACACAAATTCAGGCATTTGAAAGATTAAACCCCATGCCTAAAAGTTAATCTCATATGAAAATGTTCTAAAATATAAATTAAGATTTTCATGATTTTCATGCATCATTGGTGAGCCCTGCAGATAATTCTTTATTCTTTAATATCATACAATCTGTTCATTTATCTATTAATTACCCACTTTAACCTCTATTTAAATACATTAAAGTAACATATATGAAATTTACTTTAGATGTCACACTAGAACATAAAACATAAAAACAATGGGCGCTACGCCCAACAGGCTCCATTTACAAAACCTTGTCCAAAGTCTTTTTACCTAGCAGATACAAAACAAAATAAAACTCACCAAAACGGTCTTTGTTTGTCTTTTCACAGTCTTTCCAACAATCACCAGTGCTTGTTTGGTGGAAATAAATCCTTAATTCACCAAGTCAGATGAGAAAATAGCCATCAAATGTTAGCTAATCTTTGGGGACAAATGCACCCATCAAATTGCATCCTCTAAAACACATCCTGCACCGGGTCAGGTACAACGGTTAACCCGCAAAAGCATTGTGTAAGTGGTAGAAAATATATTTATATAAATTTGCGGGTACAGGTAAGAATAAAAATACATTAAATGCAGGCAGGCAGGGTGCGGACGAATATTTGTAGTTATTTTCTGGATAAATCAGAAGTGAAAATGAATGTGCAATCTTTTTAACAATTTAATCAGTAAAATATTATCAATATTATTTTCTTTTATTGTGAAAGCCGCAAGCTTGTGCATCCTCTGAGGAAACATACAGCTGCAGCAGTGGCACAGGGCCTACGCCAGTTGACAAAAACCTTTCCAAAAACACAACTGTCAGACCGCCAAACCACTGCAAATATTGTATGCAGGGACATCAGATTATTTAAGCGTAGTGCTTAACAGTTTGTTAATTGATTCAGCCAAACGGTTAATCGTGATTTTAATTTATGTTACCTGTTACACTTATAATCAGTAAAAATATGACTGTGTGTGTAGTACAGGTCAAGGGTCGGATCACGGGTGTTATATTAACAGGTTTGACTTGGAGATAATTGCAGGTAACAGGTCGTTTCCGGTTCTGAGCTTTGAGGGTGTGGGCAGATGCAGGTTTGCCAAATTGGACCAGTGCAGGACTCTGCTTTAAAAGTTCTTATTTTTGTGTCTGACAGCATAATGGAAAGGATCTGAACAGAGAGGGACATTTTGTTTGACCAGAAACAGTCGTAATATCGCTATCACTCACCACCAGACTCCATAGACAAAATCATTTTACCTTGCATATCATCATAACATTGTAACTTAATTCAAAGTAGAAAGAAAAATAAAACTTACTGAAACTGTCTTTGTTAGTCTTTCCAACAATCACCAACTCTGGTTTGGTAGAAATAAATCCTTAATTTACCGACATAGATTAAAAAAAACTGCAGTTTCAGTCGCTCTGCTCTGTTTGGTAATGTTTGGTAGATGTTCCCATGACTCACTGTTCATCTTGACCCTACAAGTAATTTTTTTTACCTTTGGCCCCCGATGCCTCTGCAGTGACTGATTAAGTGGTCTCTGTGGATCACCCGTTAGCGCCCTTGTGTTGCTTTAAAAACTCAAGTATAATCGAGGTGATTGTCAGAGCACTCAAAATCTGCCAAGTGGCATTCAGCATGTCTGCCCTGTTGTACTGATTGTGTAACTGTTTTCATTTAAGTGCTTTTAACGTAACCACCTCCTTGCTTTCATATAAAATGCTTCTAACACTGCTGATTCTGGATTCTGGCTTAATCTTAACTCAGACAACATCTTATAAAGTATAATAAAGCAAGACTATATTACCTTGGAAAAAGGAAATAAGATAGTTTTCCTCTCAAAGAAAAAAGGTTGAATTCATAAGTTATAACACAAACCTGCTAAGTTCAAAACACAAGGAGACATCTTTGCTTTTTCCTGTTTATGGTCTAATTCAGCGTTGCACTGTAGCACTATGAAACATCACAGCACAACAGACCCAGCTGACCACAAGACCTTTAGAAGTCAGTGCAGCTATGTTATTCCTATACTCTGTATAATAAAAAATGGGCGTAGTCTCTGTGACGTCCCCCATAGGTTTCTGAAGAGCCGTTGTAAAGCTCAGCTCCAACTCCACCGGCTCCCGGCTAATCCAAAAATGGCAAAGAGGCTGAGTGTGGGTGGAGCTGAGGTGGGCTGAATGAAGCCTGGTTACTGAAAACAGCCACCTGTGACGGCACCAACCTGCCAATCGAAGAGCAGGCCCTTAATTAATAACTTTAAGCTTTAATATAATTTAAATGGGTGAGTTGTATACAAATTCACCCCATGTTCATGACAACTGTATGGGGTGTTTTTTGTACCAGGCTGTAAACATGTTTATTTCTGCTGTAAAGTTGGGGTGGCACAAGAGGGGCACTGACTTCTGCAGGGGTGGCATGAAGTATGCAATTCTAATACTGTTTATAGTATGCAAAAGTATTCAAATACACTACCTTCGTGAAAATAACACATTTATACGACATAAATAACAACTGCAATAACAACACTGCCTGGTTTTTGTACAAAAACCGCATGGGATTAGCATAAAATGGGAATGTATGCAAAGGAGAGACCCATAGAACCTATTTTCATTCAAATATCCGAAGGTCAGACATCAAGGGATCCATTTTAAAAAAAGCCATGCCAGTTTTTCCATCGCCAAAATGTATCCTAACTTTGGAGCATTATTTAGCATCTTTCCTGACGGGCTAGTACCAATGGATGCATTAAGTCATCTAGTTTTATATGACTTCAAAACTGAGCCCGCTACAGCCTCCAAAAGACTGAGTGGAATAGGAAAGCTGGCCAATCAAGTTTCATCCCTCTGGGAACGCCCCTGCTTCTGGAGCCAGCCTGTTAAGCCGTTAGAGGAACTGCTTCATTTGTCAGGGTGCTGCTTGAGTTTCATTCCTCTTGAAAATGTACCATACTTTTTTATCTGTCATCAAGGTTTGAACATTCTGCTGCTGTGGTACGTTCAAGGACCTTAGTGGCCAGCAGACATGACATCCCCCCAAATATTTGTTCAGTATGTGATAAAGAGGCCTCTCTGTCTTTGTATTGTTTGTGTCAGGATCGGTCGTCTGTTTGATGGAACGGAGCCCATAGTGCTGGACAGTCTAAAGCAGCACTACTTCATCGATCGGGATGGCCCCATGTTCCGCTATATACTTAACTTCCTCCGGACCTCAAAACTCCTCATCCCCGATGACTTCAAAGTGAGTGTCTGTCTAGACCTTTGATCAGGTACTACCACAGTTTATCAATGCAGCGTGTCCCAACAGTCCCAAATCACAGCCAATAAACACTGAGAGAGTAAAGTGTACCTCATGACTCAGACCACCCTGTGCAGTCACAATGTTGTACTGTCAGTCACTGAACAATGCCTTGCTAAAGGCCAGAAAACTTTTAACTAACCATGCTTTTGTTACATTGTTGTGTGGACGTTTTGGAAGGTTTTTCTTTACTGTAACTTTCTATATAGTTATTAGTATTAAATAATAGTATTAAATAAAGCTGCAGTAGGTAACTTTTTATAAATAACTTTTGTCATATTTTCTTAAACTTCCACTATATCCTGACAGTAGTACACAAAATCCGGTTCCTCTGGCTCCTCCTAGTGCTCCTAATGATATTTGCAAGAATTCACTGGGCCTGAACGAAAACAACCAATCAGAGCCAAGAAAGATATAAAGACGCTGTGCATTACTGTGCATAATATCAGCTAAACTTAACCAAACCCAAAAATGATCCCCATTCAACAGCCTGACTGCACTCATCATATGATTGTTGCTGTATTATGGTAACAACCATACAATCTCATTGGCTACTGCCAAGACCCTGTCTCAATTCCAAGGTTCACACTGTTTTTAAGGAATTATTTTCCAGGACCTTTCCAGGACATTTTTTTCAGAAATCTTTTTTTGACAATACAGGACAGCACTTCACAAACAGTCAGTCATAGGTGCTGTGCTCCACAGCCGATCTTTCCACTTTCTGAATACACCTTTTTTACAGCAGCCATTTTGATATGAAATAGTATGGTAACACAGGTGTTGCAAATGATACTAACAAACGTTCCGTTCCATTTAGTGTAGCAGAGCCTCTCCCGTGAGCCAACGTGCCTTAATGAACCTTAATCAGTATCACTGGTAACAACTGTATAGTAGGGTAAACACGGAAAAAAAAAAAAACAGATTATTTCCGGATATTTGGTCATTTTCCAGGCATGACTGGCAAACTAGTCTTTACATTTTCAGGTTTTCCAGGATGCGTGGGAACCCTGAATTCATAGTATATATATCATATTTTGGGTGCACTAAAATCAAGCAGATTTGATAACTGTCTCACAGTGAAGTAAAGACCTAATTAATGTGTGTATACGTGTCTGCATTAGGCTTAATTCAGCAATTTATATCCTCAAATGATCAATATGTTGAAATAATAATCAAACAAGTCTGTTTTGCATAAAGGTGGCACATTTGCCATTTATTTAAAGTCACATGAGAAGGGTTACTCATAACTACCAGTTTATCTATGTCAACGCTTTGTTTCTGTGACCTTGTGTGGATGTGAGCTTTGATGTCTTTCTTTCTTCTGTCCATGTGTCTGTCTCTGACCCTGTCTTCATGTATGTGGTGTGTGTTTTTGCAGGAATACTCCCTGCTGTATGAAGAGGCCAGCTTCTTCCAGCTGGCTCCCCTGCAGGCCGAGCTGGAGCGCTGGAGGACTGAGCGGGAGTGCAGGGGTGTGTGCCTGGAATGCGAGTGTGTCGTGGTTCACGTGGCGCCGGACCTCGGCGAGAGGATCAGTGTAAGTGCCTGCCGGGCCGTGATCGAGGAGGTTTTTCCTGAGGTCAGAGAAGTCGTGTCCAGTTCCCTGAACGCCAGCTGGAACCAGGACTCCACACACATCATTCGCTTCCCTCTCAATGGCTACTGTCACCTCAACTCCGTCCAGGTACAAAACACGCTCTGGGTTCAAAGTTCAAACCCTTCAACACCAATCTATAGAAGCCCATTTCCGCCAAGGTGACGAAACAAAAAAGGATTCTGTTAGTCAATATGACAATATAGTGACTTAGCACCTTAGTCATTATTTTGAAAATGTTTCTCATTATAATGACTTACAGAATCTCATCTACAGTCACATTGTATGGGCTTCCGTACCACTTTTAGCACCCCTGTCCCTATCTTCTGTGCAGTCGAAGCTGAAGTGTGCAGTATAACATCAAAGAGGCAGCAGAAACATAGGAACTTCCTCACAGATGCGTCCACCAACTCATGTTTACTTTTTAATAGAATGTGCTTCATTTGTCCAAATGTAAATGAGTAAAGCAGATAAATACCTCAATAAGCTTTCCATCTTAGGCAGATTCCTAAATATTTCACTTTTGATTTTAGAGGGATACGAAATAATGCTCTAGGGGGCAGTCATGTACAGACAACAGCTCTAATTTATTAAGGTTCAAAAGTAAGCCTGAGGCTTTGTAATTTTGTGAGACAGCTGGACTCACAAAATCACAAAATGTCATGAGAATCCATCTCGCCAGGCTTCAGTCTTTGTGTTTGTGGCTGAACTACAGTTGTTGAGGGAGTACTGGCAGTTGTGATGCAGCAAGAAGACACTGTTCATTGAACAACAATGGCGGCTGCTAAAGAGGTTAGCATAGATATTTCTCCTACACGCTTGGAAAATGAACAGTATATTCAAATGGTTGCAGTCTGCAACTACACCACTAGATGCCACTAAATCCTGCACACTGGTCCTTCAAATGTACTTCATCTTTGTATCTGAGAAATCCGGTTTTATCTGTAATTGTGGCATGGGGAATGGTCCTAAATACTACAAGACCCATGAACCTCAGCTGCCATTGAAATGGAGGACAGTCAGAGGTGCAGATCAGATTAAAAGTCAAAATGTTGTGTTGAGTGAACAGTAAACTGATTTAAGCAGTAGATTGTGTTTCATTTTCCCAACGCTGTAATCTTTAGCTTCCACCCAAAGCTAGCGGTGCACAATACATAGAATTTGAAGCTCAGTGTATGGATGTTTCTTGCCAAAATGCACCTTGGGAGTTGTAGTTTATATTTACCACAAAGTACTTTTGAGATCAGTTGATAGAAATCTGTTGTTTTAATATATTTGGGACTTTTCTCTCCTCGCCCTGCCCTCACCATAATTATCATTAATTAACAGTCAATATTCAGTCAAATAGCTCTGGAAATGTTTACAATCAGCCAACAACCTTCTTGTGTGGAGATAAATTGATGGCTGACACATTTCATTACTGTATGTCTGTCTGTCTTTGTGTCAGGGGAAATTTCATTCAGACAGACGCAGTATAGAGGAACAGAGGACTCCTGAGGGCAAACAGAGATAATGTCACCACGTTCACTTCAGCAGGGAGGGTGGGGAGAGAGGAACTAATGGACTACTTCTGAAGTAGTCGATGTTTCAGGCCAGAGAGGCTGAGTGTGGGATGGATTTTACCTAGAGATAATGAAGAGTCACCCTGGGCCCTGGGGCCTCTGTCTCAGCTATTGTTAGCAACACAGTTAAGATTACACACAAAAGAACCACAGACTGTGACAGGTAAATCAGAGAGATAGATCATTTGGTGGTCGAGACAGATGACCACCCACCTAGAGCCGAAGGATCTGTCCTAGGTTTCTGCCTCTTAAAAGGCAGTTTTTCCTTGCCCCCGTTGCCAAGTGCTTGCTCATGGTGGCGGTACTGTTGTGTTCTCTGTTAGAATAATGTCTATTAAAGATTCGGTCTAGACGTTGCCTTCTATTTTTTAAAAGTGTCCTGAGATAACTTCTGGTTATGAATTGGCGCTATACAAATAAAATTGAATTGAATTGAATTATCAATGGCTGATAATTCTTCTTCCACATTGATTAAACCTAATCATCAAAACTATCCATTCTATTTTGGGTCACGTACCATAGCACTTCCTTTTGAAGAAAAAAAAGATTTAACTGTCAACCAGATGGAGCCGTTGTCACCAGTAGACGTGAATCAGTGTAATAATTCCAGTAGGTTATGTTTTCGTTCAAGGCTATTGTGGTAGCAGCATACAAAACAAAGCAGTGCTGGGCTCTAGATAGAGCCGTTTTTTTTGTGAATTTCACAGCCACCGTAAGTGGATGCTTGGAAGGGGGAGAGGGGCAGGGTTTCTGCAGGTTTCAACAGGTTAACTTTAGTACCTTTTTAGGACAGTTATGAATGCAATTTAGGACATATTTTACGTCCACACTGGCAAAGAAGAAAAAGTACAAAGAATAGGAAGGAAAATCGGCATTGGGTCCATGTGGGTTTTGTTTTTTAGTTGTTACAACATGATCAAAACTTTTTCCCCAAAACACATTTAAAAAAGCTCCAGTGTGTAGAATGTTAGAAAGTTATCTGTGATGATACACTAATGAAAACATACCTATGAATATTATATTCAACTTCTGACAATAGATCCTCCTCAGTGTTACACACTAAAGCTTTGAAAGCGACACTGAAAAATGCAACTTCATACAAGTAATGTCATCAGCTTCATTAATACAATTAATTCTGAAGACCTGTCAAAATAGGCCTAAAATTCAGGTTATTTGATTTTAGACTCTTTAAGACACGGACACTCTGAGGGTCATCAGTTGGCCTTGTGATTGGCTGAATTGGTATAGGTCTTTGGTTGTAGAAACAGAACACAATCCTGATGTGTTGCTTTAGCCCATTCAGTTTTAGGTGTGACTCATGAAATAGTGGTGCCTCAGAGAAAGTGTCTGAATGTTATGCTCAATGGCTCTTCGTCAAATCTCATCTGTATTGCTGTTGTTTGGTTTGTGTGCCACTGCAGGTGTTGGAACGGTTACAGCAGAGAGGGTTCTGGATCACATGCTCATGCGGTGGCGGAGTGGACTCTTCCCAGTTTAGTGAATACATTCTACAGAGGGAGGGCCGAGGCAGCCGACAGCCCCCCACCCTCATCCGAATAAAACAGGAAGTCATGGACTGAACTCGAAGGAAATCCACATTTTTTGCACACATATTAGCAACTGTTCCGTGCAAGTGTTTGGACAGATTTGACATTTCAACATATTTACTTTAGAATAAAAGATGTCTTCTTTGATACATTCATTTCCAACAGTAGTATCATTACAGTAAGAATATAGATCAGTCAGTGCAGGGATTGGCAGGGGCTCATGGAAAATGTGATTTCCCATGTAATGTAAATTTAATTTAATTTTGAGGTACGCTAGCATTAGCATTTCTATTTATATGAAATGGAGGCTAGGGGTGTGCTTTAGGGATACAATCTTTTATCATGGTACATGTAATTTTATATTGTGGTATAGTATATTTCCTGGAAATTCAATTGAGGAACCATTGATAGAGAACATAACCAGATGCTTATATCTGTTTTTAGCTAATCCATTGAATTAAATCAAGGTACTTTCATCACATTGATGCAAAAAGTCTGTAAATCGGTACTGCCATAGAACAGTCCCGCTTAGTTTGCCCACATTGGCCTAATACCCAAAGAGATATTAAGGGAGAGCTGCTACAGTATGAACAGTATGGCAGTTGACACATTTCTGTTGTTTAATGAGATATATATGTCATATTGTCCAACCCTACCATTAGTCCTCTCCACCATGGTCTCAGACCACATGCTGAGGCTGGACAGTTTGCCATGTGCACACATACAATGCATGAACTTTCACATCATGCTGATAGTTACAGGATAGGGCAAAACCACAAATGGACTCCTGAAGCTATTCTTGGCAGCTGGCTAGTGGCTCATAATCTGACTGCATGGCTTTCACACGGGTTTTTATACAGTTTAAACATTTTAATGGCAATGTATTTTAAACTGACAACTGGATCCTCATACATTTTGTATGTGTAAGAATTTCCTCTTAAGATATCATTTTGTTCATTTGTAAATTAAAAATCACTGACAGTTCGATGCTGATGTTGGACTTTTCTGAAACTGTCCACTCAAGACGAAAGACAGCATGCTGATAGGGACAGTTTTATGTTTTGAAAGACAATGACAGATGGCATAGTTCAGAGGTCATCTGAAGTATTATACAAGAAATAGAGTTCACAGATAGGCTTTGTCCACAAACGGGACAATGCACAATGACCAGTAGAATATGACACATTCATGTTAGTTCCCAAGGAAAACCAGCTATTTTTTTTTATTCCAGCTCAGAATGAATTTGGGTTTTGAAACAAGTTTATTTTGGGTAGAAATGCTCAGAATGGTTCAAAACTATAGGTGCGCAAACTGGAATTTTGTAAGTGGCTTCCTGTAAGTGGAAAAGGCCTAAGAGAGACTGCTCTGTATTTTCTTTAACGCGCTGCACCAACTCCTATTTGCCTTTCAGAGGTGAATCAGAGTTCTACAAATATCCTATTGAAAACTCTCTTTTTCCAGCCAAAACAGCTGGTTGTAATGTACTGTATTATGTTGAATGCAGCTGTGTATACGTTGCAGTGTATAAATTATGAGGTATGAGCCTTTTTTGCATGTATTGTTGCATTGTTTTGTAGTATTTGCATTGACCATCAGTTACTTTTACCTGGAGCAAATCTGACATGTTTGCATTTGGTAAAGTATGAATTTAGATCACAAGCACAGAATTCCCTGAGAAAGAAAAAAACTTTATTTCAGCCTTAATATTATTTTTGGCATGCAATATCTTTATTATAGATGCACAATGTCTGTCTTTGTTCTGTTTTTAAAAAAAATAGAGGCAGAAGATCCACGATTGATTCATTTTCCATTTGATTCATTGTTTTTTAGGGCTTCACCCGTGATGAAGCATGGAGCAACAACAGAAGCCAGCATTGTTTATTTGTATATCACATTTTCTTTGTTTTCACATTTTAATTATTGTAAGATTTTCATACCGACTAAAAACATTTCAGAGGATTCCATTAAAAAAATATAAGTCATAACCAAGATACAGGCTGTTCATTAGTTTGAGTCCTACAGCACATCTTCAACCTGAGCTTGGAACAGGGGAGGGTCCCTAGACAGTGGAAGACATCATGCCTGGTCCCCAAAGGCTTGAATTACTACAGACCTGTGACATCCCATGTGATGAAGACCCTTGAGACTGAAACTCTCCCAGCTCAGGCCCCTGGTTAGACCAGCACTGGACCCCCTGCAGTCTCCTCCATATAGCTTCTGCCATTGGGAGACAAGCTCAGGGCCATGCAGGAGAACACTGGATAACGGATTACCTGACTGGTAGGCAACAATTTGAGAGACTGAGGAACTGTGTGTCAGGAACTGTGATGAGCAATACGGTGGACCCCAAGCACACTCCTCTCCCCCCAGCTGTTTACCCTATACACCTCTTACTTCAGCTCGAAAGCCCTCCACCTGCAGGAGTTCTCTGCCATTGTGGGGTGCATCAGAGGACAACAGGAGGAGGAATACAGAGGCCCGCTGCATCAATTTGCTGGGTAGTGCAGAAGAGCTGAATACTGACAAGACAAGGGAGTTTTAAAAATGTACTTAACTTTACTTCATTTTTGCATAATTAAGTGAACAGCTGCTTTGAGTCATAGGCGGCTGTTTTCAGCAACCAGGCTTCTTTCAACCACGCTCCACCTCTCTGCCCATTTTTGGATTAACTGGGAGCCAGTAGAGTCAAGACTGCCAAGATGGTGAGGGCCAGAGCCGATCACACTGAGCTTCACAGCGGCTCCTTAGAAATGGGGACATCAGGGGATGTCAGGAAAACTTCGGCCATTTTTAGTCATACCGTCCATGATTTTAGCCTTGTAATCTGTAGTCTTCGGTCTGTCCCAGCTTCGCTCATTTTTTCTTGGACTTTTTTTAATAGGTTGTAATTTCATTTTCCTACCATGCAGGTGTCCAATAATGTTCAGTTTAGTTCAGTATTCACAAACTCTCGACAGAGGTCCAGTTCAGCTTGGAAGCAGCCATATTTTGGAAGCGGAGTGAAACGTACATCCCGAAACAGAGGGCATGTGCAGGAAGAACGCAGCCACAAAGGTTTCATTGGTTTGGGCCGGTTTATTCTGACTGAGGTGTTAAACCACTTATAATCAGAATATTAGGCTCCATGTAAACATAGCTATTGTACGATTTACAGCATGACTGCGATGCAAAAAGTAGAAGTAACAGCCTCTATCACTGTACTGAAAGCTGTTTTTAAAGTCATACTGTGAGAAGAGAATCCTCCTCCATCAAACTGTCTGAAAGTTTTTATTATATTAGACATTTTTTATTAAATATCCAACCCACTTTTGACCCTAGTAATGGCGCTAGATGAAAAATCACACATCTTCAAAGTTTAAATAATTTATCCTGCAGTGAATGTTTGTGTAACATCTCATAGCAATCCATCCAGTAATTGTTGAGACATTGCATTCTGGCACAAAGTTGTGGGCTGACAGACCGGCATTACTGCCCCCAGAGCCACGCTGCATTTGCGGCTAAAAACAACCAAAAAAAGGAAATGTCAGGATGTGACCAAATCTACTTTTTTTAATGGCCAAACAATAAACAAGCAGAGTGATGAAAAACTCAACGGAGAACTGAACTACATTTAGTTTTCAGTAAACAGCAGTACTCTCTAGTCTTATCTTTATAATCAAAACCAAAACGTGCTTTCAGAGCCCATTGCTGATCCAGCACTATCCTCCAAACAGCATACAAATAAATAGATATTTGATATAATAGAAACAAACTGCAAAAACACTTTTTGGAGGTCAAAAGAAAAGATTCAAAAACTTGGGACCTTGTGAGCACAAACTATAGATTACTATTGGACCGATTCAGTCATTAACAGTAGGAGCAGTAAGGTAGTCAGAGCATCGCTTTGTAGAGAGTCAGAGAGTGGCGTAGGAAGTGGTCCTCCTCCATACACACCAGCAGATCCCTCAGCATGACCCGAGTCACTCTCTGAACACCCTGTCTGGGCAGCAGAGTCACCTGACACACACACACACACACACACACACGTTAGTTTACTAATCTACAGTGAGCTGGTCATCATCACAAAACACACCCAGCAGCTGAGTGAAGACCCTGAGATCTTATAGTGAGTGTTTGACTCCAATACTGATACAATTTGCTTGGTTATAAGGCGACATAAAGACATAAAATCGATAAACTGGAAAAATATTAGCAAATTTTTAAATTTTTCACACTTTCCAATATAAAATAATCCATTTTACAACCAAGCCCAAATCAAACATTACAAACCAAAGTTTTTGCCAACTGTGACTATATCAGACATTTTTAGTTTTAAAGTTCATTACTGAACTTGGGAACAGTAGTTTGACAGAATACTCCTATCTTTTATGGCTACTGGCTATATTGTAAGACATGGAATATAAAATTGATTGAGTCAGTGGATGACGATATATAATGGACAGTTTTCCAGTCTGAAAAAGTGAATGTTCATTTAGTAAATTAAGGTCCCGTTTAAAGTAAAATAGACCGTAGAGCAGGGTATGCTTTAGGGCGGGGCTACCTTGTGATTGACAGCTCAACTCGCAGTACGTCACCTCCACTGGCTTGCGCTGGCTCAATCTAACTGTCATGACGGCGGCCAAAACGCCAAATACGAGGCTTCAAAATGGTATTCCACAAACCAATGGGTGAGGTCACGATAGGTTCACACTTAGTCTGGACAGAGGTTAGAATCTCCACCCATATCCAACAATATGAGATCATGTCAGTGAAGTTCTGTACTTGGCAGTGGCAGATGGAGATTGTGAGATGTGGTTGAAAGACCCTGAGTTAAGACATTAAGCTATTATGCTTATTAAGTCCTTGAGTAACTTTAAAGTGACACATTAAGATTATAAAACAAAAATGATTATGTAGTTTTAGTTTTGTGCCTAGGTCGTTCTACCCTAGACCTAGTAGTTCTCTGCCTGAGCTCCTGCAGTAACACATGCTAAGGAATAGCTGTACAAAGACAGATGTTCAAAAGATCTTCATCTCCAAAAACTGTTGCCACCAACCCTCCTTCCTGTCCTCATCAGTGTGTGCTGTGCCAGCTGAGGTTTAGTCTGTGAGGAGGTAAAGGAAGCCCTGTGGCTGTGAGAGGAAAAAGAGAGAGGGGAGACAGACAGCCGGCTCCTCTGGGTAATGTAGTTCAAAGGCAGTGGGAAGTGTGTGCAGTTAACAGAGCGTCCTCGTCTCTAAACCTACAGCCTGCAGGGCCGCGACTTAAACACACAGAGAATTAAAGACTCAATGAGCTAAACTAACAGTCTCACACATGCTGACTGTGGTGAGCTGCAGGCTTCCTGTGTGTCTGCGTTAGCCTTTACAGGAAGTCATTCTATCAAACTGTGCTAACAGTTGCTTTAATTCCTGATGTTTTATATTTACTACTTTTTACTGTGGTGCCTTTTCTGTCTTTTTGTCTTCATCCTTAAGGCAGAACACTTAGGGTTGTTTTCTTAGATAGAAGAAGAAGATAGTTTTTTTCTTTCTTGTGTAGCTCTTCCTTCATAAAAGAAAAACATTTAAAAATAGCAAGCTACAAGAGTCTTGGTGGTTGTCACAATGCAAGAAACATCAGAATAGTTCAACACAGGAATGTCACTAGCCATGTTTCCATCAACATATTTTGAGGCGTATTTAGAAAAGGTTGACGTAAATGACAAAATTTGAAAGAATGCCCTCAATTTCAAGCTCACTTGAGGTGGTTTTTGTCTTTTTTGAGAAGATTTTATGCATTGGATGGGAAATTAATAATAATAATAATAATAATATAATAAATAAACACATCACAACTTAAGTCACATGACTGATTTCTGTTTCTGTTCCGACAGTCTCCTCTTCGCCCCCCCAGCTCTTTAATACATCCATGATCTCTGCACACAGATCTGATGGAAACTTCCTCACATTAATACACAATATAATATAACGAACACAAATGTCACATTTCCATCCTGTTTTCCACCGTTTGAGCTCCCACTGGTGCTCTTTTAAATACATCATCATGTTGCGCCCTCTTCTTCTGCCTTTCTGGCTGGAAAGTGTTTAATATCCATGTCTTGCATGTTCTTGTATTGCTCCACTCCTTGTTGTCTGCATAGGTGTCACCATGCTATATCATCAGGTGAGTGTTAAGATTTGTCGTGCTACCGCTGTGCTTAATTGCTGTCCGACAAATCTTACAAATGAACAGACTTTTTTCCAACTTTCCTTCCTTCTTCAAAACTTTACATTTTAGATTTGATGATACAAAAGGAAATCGCATCGGCACTGCTGGACATATTTGTTTATATACTGACCTTATGAGCCATGCTGCGCTAATGTAACTATGTTCACTCTTGTCACGAGACCCTGGTGTGTGTGTGTGTGTGTGTATATATGTATATTTATCTATATCTCTATCTATATATCTCTATAT